CTTTTCTGTGTTAGTCTTTTGCTAACATTATCTATATGCTAGTCAGCATATTTTAAAAGGAGCAAGGTGAACATTCCTCAGCTCTTTGTTTCAGGCTAAAATGTTGTAGTTCATTTATGGAGTTACCCAGAGTGCAAAAATGGGCTGAAGAATTGGAAGCAGTTGCTAGGAGTCGGAAACAGTTTAGAACTGTGGTAGATTTCATTGGTGTAACTTCCTTATTTTGTAAAAAGAGAATAGGAATAATGGTGTAGTGAAAAACTGTGGTTGCTTTATTCCTTAAGGTCCCTTAAGTACTCTGTAATTAAGATGAAGAGCACTTTAAAAAGAAGAGTATGCTTTATTGAAACAATGTCGTGATTTTTTTGGGGGGGGGATTTCCTAGTGTAAGCAAGTTTTCATTTCCTCCCTCATTATGAGTAATTTGACAGGTGATGCTTTTATTGGCAAGCTATTTTTAAAATACTTGAACTATTTTATCTATTCTGTTGTGACTCAAAGTTAGTCTGTCAGCAGGTAAAATCTTTGATGGGTGAAGAGGGGTTTGTAGGTACCTGTCTGCCTATCCATTCTCTGGGCATGGTGGTGGTGGGAAATCTTTTCTCAAACATGTGGGGTTACAATGTTTCTTACTCCTCAGTACAAGTAACTAAGGTAGGATACACGTTTTGATTTAGAATGTGTTGACCTCCCTGCTTCTCTTTCTTTTTAAGGAAGATGCTTGTCCAAAGCTTTTCTCGGTGTCAAACAGTTACTTTTTGATTTGTGCAATTGGGAACATCAGATGTTAAGAAATAAATCCCTGTTGTTCAGGTGGCAAGATGCAGCACTCAAGACAAGATGCTGCACTCAGTAGAATTGATTCTGTAGTTGAGACTGGTTTGCATGCAAGCACAAAAGGTTGAGTACTGCCCTAGAAGAGGTGACAGGTCTGCAGGTGCAGCAACAAGTGGGGCCTTGTTACAGTGGTGGCTGCTTTTCACATGGAGATTTTGTTGCCTAATGGAAGGGAGAGCATCCCTCCTCACTGAGCTTTTTTTCTCCCTGCTTTTATGAAAGTGCATACGAGCATACACCAAAGGTGTGTCAGATGTTTTATTTTGAAAACAGGAATTAAAATTTTTCAGGAAGACAAGATGCAGGAGGGGAGCCTTTTGAAGAAAACTTCATTTTTCAGGTTTTTTCCCCTCATTTGGATTGTAAAGTAATCTTTGCTATATTTTCATAGGTAGAAAATAGAAACTGTATTATCATGGTTCTTAAAAACCCTCCTCCAAATATTAAGAGCTGCTACTCCTGAAAACCTGCATTCACATGCATTCTGCCAAGCAGACAAGTGTAAAGTAACAAAAGCCAGCATAGCCTTTGCTCTCTGCTGATTGAAGCTAGTAAGTCTTTTGTGGGTTCGGCCTTGGCCTGCTGCTATTGCCTTAATGCTGCTAGACTGGTTGCTTTTCTGAATGTACACTTGTACTGTTTACTGTGTGTTTAAATCTTTACAAGCATTTTAGCTTATTTTGGTTGTTTGCTTTCAACCAGGTGACTTTTAACCAAGGTATAACCAACCCGGATCTGTATTGGCTTCTTTGAGAATTTTGAATTTAGTTCAAGGTTGTTTACCATAAATTAACTGTCTGAGATTATCACCCAGACACTCAGAACTTGAATTTTTGTCCCACTACACTGCTCCAGCCTGGTGCCTACCATCTCTCTCCCCCCTGCCCCAGGTGTCAGGACCCTGCTACTCCTGTAGAGGTAACAATTTGACAGAATGGATGATGTTCTGCAGTGTTACTGTCTCTGTATTCTAATGCTATCGTATCAGTTATAAGTCTGAAGTTGTGTGGTTGTGCTTTTCAGAGCAACCCTCCTCTCTGCCTTTCCTTGCTTCCTACCCAAAAAAAGACCCTGAAGCAAAGGCAGTAACATCCCCTACTGAGGAAGTATTTCATGCAGTCACATGCGGGCAAGTGAAGACAATGTCAGCTGTCAAATCTTATGACAGCTATGTGATTCTTGTAGGAAAGGAATTTAGAGAACTCAAGTCATGGGACAATCAATCTGTTGCTTATTTATGTCAATAGCAACCCCTGGAATATGGGAATAAACTGATAAAAAGTTCTTCTAACAGTGCAGATATTTCTGGCACTGTGCCAGATTTCAGAGAACTTAACAGCACTATCTAATGAACTGCAAATACTCATTTCTGTCTATAGTGCCACAGCTCTGAGAGCCTGGAGCAGGTCTATGGACTTCACCAGAAATGTCCCTTTTCACTGTGAATGGTTTCATCCAAAACCTGCTGGAATGACCAGTAGTTCAATCTAGTGAGCTCTGCTCTTTAGTCTTTCTCTCCTTTAAAAAAAAAATTATCTCCTGGAGTCTTGCAATTAAACCTGTTTGTTCTTATACTTATGCCTGACTATTTTTTTCCTCTCATGTTAGGCACATTATTAGAAAATGAACCCCTGCTGACATGAAAGTCATACGAACAGAATCCTGGTAGGGTTTTCTCCAGAGCTGTCCTTTGCAGTAGCTGTTCCCTCTATGCTGAGTACCAAGAGACTCTAGGAGAAGCAGGCAAATAATTTGAGTCCCTTTGGTTCAAGGGGTTGTAAGTTCACAGAGAAGTGTTTAAAAACTCTGAAGCCCTATAGAGACTGGGGCAGCGGGGGAGGAAGAGTGTGAGTGTCCTGCCCTCTCTTTTTTTTATTGTTTAATGATCCTACTTGTGTCTTAGTGGTACTGATGGGAACATCAACTAAGCTGTAAGATGTTGTGCAAAGTATGAAGTGGCCCACATATCAAAAGCACTGAACTGTGTCAGTCGCCAGCAAGTGGGGCACAGCATCCTAAAACATGCAGCTAAAGTGTTTACCTGCTGAAGTTCAGAATAGCTTCCTCTGCTTTGCTTTGGTTTTGGCAGGAGTACAGTAGAGAGTGAGTTTGCTGGTTCTCCCTAAACGCTTTCTTATATAGCGTGTATGAGACAAGCAAAAAGCTGCCTTAGAAATGTCTTCAATACTGAAAACACTCTTATTCTTCTAATTAGCTCATAAACCTTGTGTCTTAAGTGGTAGCACTCTATCTGGTAGTTTAAAAAAAAAAAAAGAAAAAAGCATCTTTGTTTACTCCTTGAACATGTTCTGTTCATCCTTTCATCAGGGTAAAATAGTGTGTTTTATTTTATGCAGGCGTAATTTCCTGGTGTGGGGTGGAATGCATATTTTAAGGCTATTCTGTGGTTTTGCTTAATGGCCATTGGGACTACAGATGTTTTATGGTCCCTAATCAAAAACACGTGTCAGGAGGACACCTGGTGGGCAATTGCTGAGATGTAGGGAGGCTTGCTAAAAGGCTGTGACAATCTGCAGGTCCTTGGGAGGGGGAAACATGGTGGGCATGTGCACATTGTGTAGAAATGTCTTTCCTCCTGAAGGCAAGACCTGTGCATAAAGTCTTCAGGAAAGCCCGAGCCCTGAAGGCTCATCTTTTGAAGAGAAGTGGGTGACACACTGGTTTCTCTGTCAACTGTAAATGCATTGTAGTCTCAGATCACTGCTGTCCAAAACCAGCAAGAGCATTTTTATTCTTGAATCATATCAGTCAGTTTCATCATTTGATCATTTTACAGTTACCAAAAATTATAATCTTCAGATAATACTTACAGAATATTCAGGATTTTCTCTCTGACTGCAGCTAAGGGTGTTTGCTGGCCAAAGTTCATACCACCATGGGAGAGGTGGTCTTCATATTGAGGCTGACAGTTTAGGAAAAGAGCTCTGGAGGGGACAAAAAAAGGTGGGAGTGGTGGGGAGATGGAAGGTCACCTAAACTTTTTGTCTTAACAAGAGTTGGTTTGTGTTTTGCCTTTGAGGCTGAGTGGGGTGATAAGAGCAGACAAGCAAAGAAAGGGGCATTCAGAGAACTGTATATAGCTTTACCTGGGGTTTCTCTGTGTTGTACTAATGAACTTCCATCCCTGAATGCCCTTCTTTCTTTGCTCAGCTGTTCCTGTTCCCATCCCCTCCTCTGTCCTCTTCTTTCAGTGTATGCTTCCCCTCCCTTCCTTTACATAATCCACTTGTAGCCTTTCTGTTTCTTTTTGTCTTTTCCCCTCCCCAGTATGGAAAGGATATTGCCTCTGCTACTCTTTTTATTTTCTTGTGTCCTTCCCCATAGTCCTTATCTTTGGTTTTGTTTGTTGCAAAGGTCCTTGAAGGTCCTCTATTTGTCTACCCAACACCTAGCATGGTGAAGCCTTGCTCTTTGGTCTTTAAATGCTCCTGTAATAAGTACAATATACAGTAGGAGTCTTGTCTGTCTTGCATCTGTATTCATCAAGGAGTTTGCTGCTGTAATTTCTTTGCCAGTCAAAGCCGTGGTTTGCTCCAGGACACTTACTGTTTCTCACTTACAAATTTTTATTCAGCTTTGAATGTGAACACTGTCTCTGTGAATAGTTGCTATAAAGTTTAAAAAAAAAAAACAAACCCCAAAACAAAAAACACACACACAAAAAAACAAAACCAAAAAAACCCCAAACAAACAAAAAACCCAACAAAAACCCCCAAGAAGTGAGAAGAAAGATGTAGGGGAAGGAAAGTGTCCAGCTGTTTTCTTGAGGCTTGATTTCAATTAAAAAACAAAACCAACACAACATACCTGTTCAAGCAGTCCTTATTTAAAAAGCTGAGACTAATAGGCAATATATTTTCCCCTTGTACCATAGTTGTTCTGGTTTAAACACCCTGTTTCACTGCCTTGCTGCCTGCTGATTTTATTAGTTATGTAGTGACTGGCATGCTCTTGCAATTTTCTGTTTGCTGCTTAGTGACTTGCAGGGGAAGACCAGAGCTGCCACTGCCAACAGTTACAGGCGGCTGGAAAAAGAAACGTGCATTCTGAATTTCATATAACTAATTTCAGACTTTCTTTCCTCACTCACTCTGATTTTTGATAATAAAATTGTCATCACTGTCTCTCTCTTTATTTTGTAGTTTTGCCAATTTGAGAATTCACCCTCATGGATTAGTGTTGGTGGATCTGCAGAGCTACAATGACCATACGAAAGGAAGAGAGGAAGTCGATCAGGTATGAGTGATGCTTATCTTACTAGACTTGTCAAACTGCATGGGAGCCTCTTTTCTTCAGGTCTATCAAAGTATATCTTGGTAAAAGATTTTTAAATATCAAAGTTAGTTCAAACCTGAATGCTTACAGATTAAGAGGAGTAATAACATCTATTGTAGTTGCATACACATATGAGTGCGCACACGCGCGCACACACACACTCTCTCTCTCTTTTGCATGTCCTGTGTTAGATGTTCTTTCCTGTAAAAGTTGTAAAGACATAGCAGCCTTGGTCAGGGCTCGGGTCTCTTCAGGCACCCAGGGCAGTGAGGGTGAAGTGATGCTCAACCCGCAACCTGGTGTATTAGTGTATGACTTTTTTCCTTCTCTAGCATGAGAGTTGGGGAGCCTCTATACTCAAACTTCTTCCCCATGGAGAAAAATAATTTCATCTTCCCCAATATGAAGGCTCCAGAAATTGGATATTGCAGGGGAATAGGCCACTGATTTGGCAGGGATGAAACCTTACAGGGTTCTTGTGTTCCCTCTTTGGCTGTGCCTGAAAGGTCTGGCTATGTTATCCTGGAGGACAGCTAAACACAGTGATGACAGCTGCTACAATATGCACATTCTTGCTAGTAATGAGGCTAAGGTGACCAGCTAGTTACTCATAGGCTTCTAATGTTACACTTCAAAGCTTTTCAGTGCAGGTGCTACTTTTTATTGCCTTCCAAGTAGCCTAATTTAGCAGATATTTTACATTAAGTGGTTACCTATAAATTCCACCTCTCTTGTTTGCTATTTTTTCAGCTTCTAAACAAAGTAGAAGAAAGAATGAAAGAATTGTTTCATGGTAATATAAAAAGGGTGAAACGGTAAGTTCATACATCTACTTCTGTATGTGGCTTGTCTGCATAGTTGCTAAAGATAATAAGAAAATCATGCTTTGCTGTACTGTGATGAATAGCCTGGAGTATGAATTTATGCATGTGTGTTTTCCCCAATATTTTAAATTTTTTTATTACAGAACTGAAAATACTGTGAGGTTTGTCACTTTGTTAAGCTTCATCTTCAGTATAGTTACTTGGGGCAAGGATTATTTCTTTAATTTGCTGCAATGGTTGCATGAAATGGAGGGAGAAAATGCAACCAGGAAGCAAGAGCAGACTGCTCTGGAAGGGCTGGGGAACCAAGGGTGGCAGGGGGATAGGCCAGGGCATGAACTGTACTCTCCGAGCCACATCCCACAGCTTGTGGACAAGCTGAGCAGGGCTGGTGGTGGTGACCAGGGTCAGCCCCAGCCCTGTGACTGCCAGCCTGGGCTGTTGGCAGACTGCTGGCTGAGGCAGCTCCGAGACCAAGCTGCGGGTCGAGGATCGGCGAAAGACTTGGGCACGCACGGGCAGAGCTGCAGTGTAGCTTGGGCAGGGACCAGGGGTGAGGGCTGGAGCTAAAATGAAGTTCAAGCCCATGGAGGAGGCCTTGCCCCCAACAAGGTTTCCTGCAGCTCTTTCTCTCGCAGCTCTGCCCCTGCTGCATCTTGTGGTGCTGGCCTTGGGCACATGTGGCAAGAACCCCGTGGGAACTTGTGTGCTTAGGGCCCTGCCAAGAAGGTAGAAATGTTTCATAGCAAATTTTAATATAACTGATAACTGAAGGAGGGAGGCTTTGCAAGCCTTCTGTCACTTTGGTTTACTTAAATACAAGGTTATATATTTAAATGTAGGGATGTTAATTGTGGTTTGTTGCCTGCTGCTGAAACAGCGTGCACGCTGGAGTTCCCCAAGGGTCTGGAAGGACACAGCTCATGTTGGTGTCTTCCTGGCGGCTGTCTGGCAGTGACTGGCACCTGAAAGCCAGGGAGCACTTACCGCAGGCATGCGCTTGCTTGGAAGGTGTACCGGATGCTTTAAAGAACGTAGTCAGAAATGGAAATTGTTTAAGAAAAGTAAAAAGCAGTGTAAAATCAACAAGATTCAATAAAGCAAGGAGTAAACTACAAAAATGGGAAAACAGCTAAGCAGTGCTATAGCAGAAAATAACCTGAAGGCTATATGAGACCACGAGTAAAGTGGTAGTGATTTGAAAAGTGATGTTATACCTTGAATATTGTTTTTTGTGTTTAACAGTTGTATGTAAAACACAGAGGTAGTTATCTTGCTTTGTCTTGTTCTGGTAAAGCCTCACCTGGCACACGGTGTGCAAATGTAGATACCTTGTGTACGTTTGTATGGGGGAGAAGCTCTCTCTTTGAGGGTATTTTAATACTGAAATATGATATTGGGAGTTTGTGGAATCCCTATGATAGGAACTTGTTAAAAATGGGTCAGGAAAAAGTCTGCCTGAAGTGATCTAGATTAATTGGTTACCTTAGTATAGGAAGATGAACCTCATTAGAACAGTGGATCTGGCATCGATCTTGTCAGACATGCCTCAAATTTTTTCTTTTTTTTTAAATTTGCTTTGCACCCTTCTGGTGTTAGCTTGACACATGCAGCTCCACTAGAATTAATGCTTCTGGAAAAGTTGTTTGTGTCTTTTTGTTTTCTTGACGTAATAAATAGATGCTCTTGCTCTCACCGTGTGCTGCCATCTTGCGGCTCACTGAGGGTAGAAAGTATTTCTGAAATGTTCATTGAGAATCACTAGTGCATTTAGAAGAAGCTTGTCTATGTCTGGTCTTCTGCTACACCCTCCTCTGGAAAAAAACCCCTTAACTCTCTGAAGTGTGTGTGGGAAATCTGATGAACTCTGCCTGCACATTTTGCTTAAAATGGAATGCAATCATTTTGATCATTCACTGCCATTTCAAATATAGTTTGTCTTTACAGGTGAAATACTGATTTGAACCAAGATATTTCTATATGGAATTAAAAAAACCACCAAAAACCCCCCAACAAAACAATATATGCAGATGCTTGAACCACATTTAAAAAGAAATGCAAACTGTCAGCTGATATCAAGGATTGTGTTTATAACACTGCAGGGTGACCTGGCTCAGTTTGAAACACTATAATAGTTCACTTTCTGTGTTTGTGTATGTATTTAAAATGTCTCTCAGTACAACTTTAGAAGGGCGAGATCTACTAATCTCAAAAGGCATTCTTAGCTGAGCTGAAGGTGGGAAGAGGTTTTGTCATGGTTTTTTGTCTGTATTCTGCTTTTGTATTGTATCCATTTCTAGTCATGAGCCGATTCTTCTGCAGAGGCTGGTATATTATGTAAATCCCCTCCCTTAGGGTAGAGATGGATTCATGTGCACATTGTAGAAGTTGTATGTGAAGAACCATTTATATTTCATCTGTGCCTTAGCAAGTTGTGTATATTTAACATGGCTGATAGGTTTCTTATATTTGTTGAGTGTTTTCTTAGATGCCTCTCGTAAATATTTTTTATTTATTATGGTGAATCCACAGGATGTTTAGAGGGAATTTTTTTAAAAAAAGATTCTCAAGTGTTTTGTAACCTTTTTTCTTATTTCTTTCTAGATTGCCAGCCATTTTGAGAGGAGGTGTCATTGACAGATACTGGCCTACAGCTGATGGGCGCCTGGTGGAGTACGACATAGATGAAGTTGTTTATGATGAAGATTCACCTTTTCAGAATATTAAAATTCTGCATTCAAAACAGTTTGGGAATATTCTTATCCTCAGCGGAGATGTTAGTAAGTATCATCTCTTTTGAGGATCTTTTGTGTGAAATTGTAGGGAGTGTTGTTTTTGATCTTGCTACAGCACAGTTCTGGCAGATTACTAAGGGTCATGGTTCTGATGCTGGAAGCTACATATATACATGTATGCATATATCTGTTCCTGTATGTAAAGTATTTTAATCAGAAAGGCTGACCAATGTAAAATCTAGAGTACAAAAAAAATTTCTTCTTTTTCCAAAGTCATTGTCTTTTGCTGTGGAAGGTGACACGGAAGAATAGAAGTCAGTGTGTTCTCTAGCAGAGCTCACTCTACTCCTTTCTTTCATATGAGCCTTTACCTGTTTGTTGCAAGTCCAACCTTTTGAGGGCTTCTCTTTGAGAGTAAAACAAGCTACTTTGTTGGTCTTCAAAATGCAGTGGAATTCTAAAGAAATACGAAGAAGTAGGAGCTGGTGGGTGTGTGTGGGGATAATCCTGCAGCTCCCTTGATTCTCTAAGGGAATTACCTGCTTGGTGAGATACAGCACAGCTGTATCTTAAACCATTTAGCTGCTTTGTTGGTGAACATCTTTTGACTCTGCCTTCTTCAAAATGCTCAGTTGAAGCCCACATTAATCAGAAGAGTGACCCAACCTTTATGGGAGGGTCTTTATATGTGGTACTCTGTGCCTGCTGATCTCTTTATTTTTGAAAGTGAACTTGAGAGAAAATGGGCTACTGTTCTTTTAAGCTGGATAAGTGCTGTTTGCTAGAAAATCTAGGCATTAAGGGGTATGCTTTGTAAAAATCTCTCAGTACTTACATTGAAAAGTACTGACTGAGGTAAATAAAGGATGTTGCTGTCTAGGGATAGAATACCTAATTTCAGTCTAAGGGCAGAGTAATTAAGAAATTTGACTATAGCTTTTTCAAATCACCAGAAATACCTCTAACCATTCAATTAGCTTTCTGTAGCTGTCAGGGGGACTTCTGTGCAGATGGCAGCTGAAAAGTGTTGTTATTGAATTCATTAACAAGGTATTTTCTAATTCAGTTAGAATTGTATTTGAAATCACCAAATTAGGTGTTCCATACTTCTAGCCAGAAATTTTCATTAGAGTTTCATATGGAGATGAGGTTTTCTTTGAATGGTGTCACAATGTGCCTCATAGAAAGGGAAGTATTCCATTACTTATTTACCTTCCATGGGATTTTAAAATACTTTGTGTCATTTCTTTATTGTGCATTTATAAGCGAAGTGCTGATTGCCAGGCAGAATGATAGGAAATGCCATGATGTGCTGCTGCACAAAGCTTTGCCCTTGTGGCTCAGATCTGTTATTACAGTTTAGGAATGTTATTGCCTGCTTTGAAGCTAATGGTGAACAAGTCAGCAGAAGGCATGCGTCAGGGCCCTTCAGCAGTTAGGTGTTAATGGTCATACTTATGCTTCTGTGCAGGGAACCACTGGGGTGCATCTAAGTTGCTCTTTTTAGTTGGGGTCCAGAGTGTGCTTTCAAAAATCTCCTGATTTGTCTCCTGCAGCACTAGTCTGAGGTAAAAACCGACTGAAGTATCAAGTGTGGACATCAAGTCCCAAGTACTGACAGTTTTGCTCTACAACTTTGCTTCTCTTGGCACACAGTACTTCCTAATGCTGAGGTAGCCATTGCTGGGTTTGCATTGAGAACTAGAGAAATCCTGTGTGGGTTTCTGAGCAGGATCTCATTAGCTTTGGTAAATCATCAGCCTCCTGTTACCTGGACTGTCTCTGAGAGCTAGGTTGTTTCTGTAGATGCTCTTGCTTTGGTCTGTATTATATCACCTTTGGATTAATACCAAATTAATACTAATTAATGAGAAGAATCAAAGATGCAATGTTTCTGTTTAACTCTTTCTCTTCCTTCCATTCAGATCTGGCAGAGAGTGACCTGGCATATACTCAAGCCATAATGGGCAGTGGAAAGGAAGACTACACTGGGAAAGAAGTACTAATCCTAGGAGGTGGTGATGGAGGTATACTATATGAGATAGTCAAACTGAAGCCAAAGATGGTTACTATGGTAGAGATATCCTTTGATAAATGACTGATCATTTGTTTCGTTTCAACATTTTTCAGCCTGTGTTTTCTGCTGATGTCTTAGCATTGAGCACAATTAACTATCAGATCCTGCTTTGAGTGAGGAGATAGGGTCTAAAACGAAATTTCTTTTTGTCAGCTTAGAGAGACCCAGTCACTACATATTTGTGCATCATTATGTAGCACATGCTTTGAAGTTCCAAATCCATACTATAACTGTTGAGTAGCAATTTACATAGAACTGGAAAGGAACACTTCTGTCATCAGACTGATGTCTTCTCTGATAAGAGAAGACAGGTCTGTCAAGGCTGAGTTCTGCCTTCTTGGGTTCTTCTGTTTTTCTAAAGAAAGCTATAAAAAAATAATCCCTAGAAGCAAAAAAGTTTAATCAATAGGAGTGTCAGGACTTGGTGAATGGTGTTCGTGGCAGAATGACCAACTCTTGCCCTGTCTTAAAAATACCGATACAAATCAAGTTTTCAACATTCTGTAGTTCGAATAGTTTGTAATGTAAATCACTTTTAGCCATATGAAATGTTGATCATCCTGGGTTTTGGGATCCCTTTGCTAGAAACTAAAAATAATTGTTTTAAAAATGTAGGTTAAAGTCTTAACCTAGTTTAGCTTTATGGGGTTTTTAAATACACCATCCTGTTGTTCACATTTCAAGCTTTCACAGTAATGGTAACCTAAGGTACCAGAAGTACTGGTTAGAAACAAAAATAAGAACTTCCTAAACCTCTAACTGAATCTGGAGGCTATTGCAATATAGATACCAAGATACACATCTTACTATTCTTTTGTGAATGTCACCTTTTTGAGAATTTATTTGTGAAGAAGTAGGAACTGTTACCTGTATTATTTCTGGAATGTAGAATGCCTTAACTAGCTTCAAACATTGACCAAATGGTGATCGACGGGTGTAAAAAATACATGCGTAAAACATGCGGAGATGTCTTAGACAATCTGAAAGGAGAGTGCTATCAGGTAATTTTTTGTTTTTCTTTCATTAGAAGTAATATTTCAAATACAGTTATATCTAGCCTGGAAGACTGCTGTGGCAAAGTTTTGGGGAAAAATCTTCTGATTTTTCTTAATTTTGGGAAGTATTTTTTCCTTTTTTATGACACTTCTAAATTTTAATACCTGGCAGTGGGATTTGTGTTGGAAGTATACATTAATGTCAAAATATTTTAACTCTCCATCTTCAAACTCTTTTAAAAATAATTATATATAGCTGTTAAGGAATGTGAAATAGGAGAATGTTTATTACTGTAGCTTACAAATAAAGAGGAAATAGCAGTAAGGATGCAGTGTTAAACATCATTCCTTAAACTGATGAAAAGATAGAAGAAATGTGTATTTGTTAGTTGTCCTGTACTGTTGAGAATAAAAGAATTTGTAATACACATTTTAAAATCCTTTTTAATTTGCAGGCAAAATCTTATTGTTACACTGCTAGTATATTAAAAATTTAAAAAAAAAAAAAAATTAATGCATCCCTGCAGTTAAGGTCTTTGTCCTGCATCTGACAGAGCTTATAAACTAGCCCAGGTGTAATCTGGCATCTTCACTGGAAATCTTTTCCTTCTGTTTTCA